CCCACTCGCCCCTATTGTTGGGACCGAAACCAGTGAAATTCTTTAGCATACACATGTACTTCCTATGATGGTCGGGCTTGATGGTCTTGGCTGGGCCCCAGGAATCTTGTCCCTCATACTCTTAGCAAAGCGGAAGCCATCAACCATGATCCATGCTTGCTTGTCCGATGGTGGGTTAGGCTTTTGTCAACAGATGAAGTTGGATCGTTCTGATGTTCGGATGGAAATATGGTGCGATTGTGATGGCCAGTTATGTCGCACACGTTGGCCAGAGACGAACGAGGTCGGCGGTGTATTGTCTGAAGATGAAGAACGTCGGCAGTGGGTGCTGTATCGAGACAAACAATGTCGACCGATGGGTTCTCTTGTCATGTAGGTTCCTATGTCGCTCCAAAGATGGCACAGTTGCGGAATGATGATCGCCATGCTCGCGCTTAGCTTCCCAGGACGAATGACGTGCCTGGTACTCCTGCCTCCAAACCGTAGGTATCAAAGACCTTCAAGGTGCGAGCATGAATGTTGGAGGTATAGTTTTTATCCTGGATTTTCGCCAGCGTTGTGCCATCAATGTGGCCTTACTTCCAATGCTCCGGAAGCATATCTAGCCAGCCTGCTTCAGTGGACGATCGCCAGGCTCGCGACGCCGCACTTTCGTCTCCACCATTCTTCTCCTCGAAACGCACTTCTCGCTCCAGGAGCGAGCGGATCCGATCCTTGACGGATCTACGGCCACGCCGGGCCGGACTCTGGGACGGAGAGCGAGGCGGAGCAGGGGACGGAGAGCGAGGCGGAGGAGGGGACGGAGAGCGAGGCGGGGCAAGGGAGGAGGCGTCATGTCGGCCAGATGCCGACTGCAGGTCCAGTTCGAGCTGGTCCAGGAGCGACAGGCCGCCAGCAGGGCCCGCAGAGTCGTCATCCAACGGAGCGCCCGAGACAAAGAGGGACGAAGGCCGGTCGACCAGAGGCTTTTCAGCCCCACGACCAATCTCCACCGAACGAGAGCGAGAGCGGGAGCGATGTCCACTACCAGGACCAGCAGGAGCAACAACAGGGCGGCGCCACTCTTTCAGCACATCTTCCACATCGCGCAGCACAACATATCGCTTCGTGCTTCTCGTGGTCTGCAGCCTATGCCGCGTGCGGCGACCGATCTCTCCAGTAATAAGGGGCCCATGGCCCGGCGTGGTCCTGGCCAGGGCAGCAAGCTTCTCCAGCAGCCCAATCGAAAAAGTTGGGGGAGTATACTCCGCGATCCCGAAAATTCCATTCCATCCCGCCCAATTCTCCTCGATAGCCCTTCGGGCTCCGCGCTCACGCCGCAACGTCTCACTACACCCCATCACACAGGATTCCAGCTGCTCGGGCATCGGGAGAGTCGATCGGAACTCTTCGGCTCTACGGCCGTCGTATCGCTGCAGCCATTCCCACGCGCAAAAAATCTGCCAGCCTTGTTTGCTATATAATTGTATCTTGTCTCGAATCTGTTGCTCGCAAAAATTCTGTCTTGCACGATCATTCGTTCGCTGGGCAAGGAGGCTGTCCAAAAAAGCTTTTGCTGCAGTATACTCTGTGGCCGCCATCTTCTTATGTGTGTGTGTGTGTGTGTGTGTGTGTGTGTGTGTG